TTCGAATGAAAAATCTTGACCTTAGGTCAATCAAGTTCGGATGACGTATTTCAAAATTGCCAAAAAACTGGGGGGGGGGGCGCGTTTGTATTACCATTTTTATGATAGATATATAAATACAAAGCAAATGAAATGATCAGTATGTGCATCAGTGCTTTCTCTATCTTAATATGTAGCTTAATTTCCACATCGCCTATTTTATTAGCAAAAGTCTTTGAACTCTTTTAAGAATGACCATTTGTATACTATACCTTCATGCATTCAGCGATCAACCGATTAAGCATAAAGCATTTCTGAATTGAATTAATATTTGGTTTCAAATTTCGTCGTTCACGGATGAATAGGTCCATCCAACTACTTATTTGACTGAAATAATGTACTTTTATGCAATCAGAAATATACAGACACTATATTGAATACCTTCGATGATATAAACTTGAAAAAGACATGCTAATTAAGCGTTTGGTAGTCAAACAGAAAAGTAGTCCAATCGCGTTAAAATGTATTTCATTCGGTGCTAAAAAATGGTCGTCATCTGCTAAATCTTTGGCACATTCAAGGTCTTGATCATTGATATGTTTCTCTCGTACCAGAAAACCTGATGCTGTTCGACGATATCATACAACGCATAAAGTTGTATGAAATTTGACTTACCCGATCTTTTGGTTGCTTGACGAGGAAGTTTTCTGTCTGTAGCCATTTTATTCGAAAACCTGTTTAGTAAGTTGTGCTCAAATTCAATACAATACTGTAGTGATGTATTTCTTAATGTGGTCGAAAATGATGTTGATGTTCTCAAGTGTTGACGTTTTTTTCTTCTAATAAACTCATTTCTCCGTCAAAGATTGCAAAGAACGTTAAAAATAATCAAACACACCTGACGTTTTTTCCAAGAATTTTGTCGTTCTTCACTTTGTTACGACGAAGCGAAGTACCGCTACGATTTTCGGCGAAATCAACTTTTGTGTTTGCATAAAGTGACACATAATATGTATATTGTTCTTTCTCCAGACATTATCCGTTTACTTTTTGCTATACTGCTACCAGCTTTCATATCTTGGAATTTTTCGAAAGTTGTCTGTGTGGGTGTGCCTGCGAATTTTCTATTCAATCATATCTTCACGCACTCTAACTACACTCACAGTTACCCTCACCCATACCCTTCTTCGGACTGTACAAGAACAACATGGCTGCAGTGACATTGATCTCTAGTTCACTAATACAATAAAAAAAGCTACTGAATGAATCAAGCTGACAATCAAAATCTTGCGAAGGCACGACGAGCGATAGCCTGTAATTGACGTCGATAAATTCTCGGTGATAACATGAAGATAGCAAAGGTCAATATTGATGGAATAAAAGCCATAAAATAGCCGAAGAGAAAGAGCCATGGATCTCGTCGAGATTTCATACAATCATTCGTGAATATAATAATTAGACGTGGCAAACCTAACACAACCAGTAGGCACGGTGAAAAGACGAGATGTTTGTGTTGTTGAAATTGTCGTCGAAGATGCTGTTGAAACGAGTCTTCGGGTCTAGTTTTTGAATACGTACGAGCCAAAAGAGTAAGTATGATAATGGCCGAGATCGAATTAATTGAAAACGGAGCGACAACATGAAAGATCATGATGAACGCATTGAAAATGTTTGTTTGCTTGGAGAATCGAGCGAAACACCAGATGCGCTGTTCATCTGCATCGAAATCGTCGATTAATTGGCGATGAAGTGGATCATGAAGATGAGTAAGTGTAGCCAGGAGAAGCACAGTGAAAGTGAGCTGTTTCGCTGTACGTTTACTCCTGTGTTTATCCAAAGTGAGACCAAAACGCAGGACGCGTGTTCGATCGATGCCGACACATGTATTGAGCCATTCACCCGATGCCATGAAAATCTTGAGTAGTACGTCGATCATGCGACAATTCCACATCAGCCATGATCGATTGGTAATCGATCCCATTTGTGAGAGTACCAAATGCCAAAACTTGATAGCTAACATTGCAATCGTGAGCATCGAAAACGTCGATGACATGATAACATAGTAGCGACAACCGATCTTTCTTGGATAAGCTTTATGAAAGGCCCAAATCGACAGCAATCCATTGAACACACCGGCTACGGAGATCAGTATGATCATGATCGCACTGAATTGAACTACGGATGGTTGTCGATTGAATGGCACATTCGGTTTGATATGATAGCCGAGTATTGCATCTAGAGTGATTGTAAAAGCTCGCGTAGAAAATTGACATTTCGTACCGTAGAAACATTCTGGACACAAACAAATGGACATTGTCGGACATGTTTCATTGTTCTGAAAACATCGACCACCATTTTGGCAATCATTGAATCCTTGACAGTCGTACGAGTGATTCTGATAGAAATCAAAACAATTTGCAAAACGATCGAGGTCACATATGCACATAAGGTTATCGTCGTAGAAACACATCAACGTCGGATTTTCTCGACACACAAGTGGGTAGTATTTGACACGATGAAGTGATTCATAATCGAGAACAGGCGTGTTGAGAACTTCAGTGATGGTTGCACAGCGTTGTCTCGGATCGATTGCAGTGCGTATGAATTCCGAAGCGATGAACGTTTCACGAACTATGGCAAGATAGTATTGTTTATTGGCTAATTCGACGAGGATAAGATGAAATGGTTGAGAAATGTACAATGCTATTGTTTGCTGATCGAAAGGTATCTTTTTGAAAGTTGTCGTTCGTTCATGTTTCGACGTATGGAATGCCGTGATGGTATGGATGAATACTGTGGAGTCTTCACTGTTGATTATTTTTGCCATATTGATCTCGACATGTGTATTGGTGAACTCACATCGCGATCCCGAATACCCAGCCTTGCAGAAACATGTGAAACCTTGTAAATTAACCCGATCATCATGTGGCACACAATGTCCTTCATGTTGACACGGGTTATTGTTCTCTTGACAGATCGATCGTTTGAGATGACATTGCGAACCAAATCTGTCTAAAGGACATACGCAGAGTGTAGGAGCCAGGCATATCGAATCGTTCGAACAATGGCATGTATGAGTTCGATTACATGTTGGACCTGAATAGCCCGGTTTACATCGACAGAAGTACCGAGACGCTTCATTGATGTATCTGACACATCCACCGTGTTGTCCACAAGTCAATGGACACTGCGTAACTTGTTGTCTATGAGAAATGAATAATTGTGTCACTAATCGATAGACTGGTAGAAACGGAAACTTGATGGGAAAAACCCAGCTGGCCCAATAAGTCAGAGTAATTCGCTCAAAAATATCAATATGAATAAAATATGTCAGTGAGTTGTTCTTCGGACGATCAGGATACAGCAAATAGATATTAAATTTGGTGCTACAGTCGAGCTTAGGAACATAAGTGATTTGCTCGTGATTCGGCGCTATGCGTCCATATTGATCCGCTAGCATAATAACCACTTGAAAAACCATTGGACTCGATGTGAGGCTACGCAATACCATTTGCAGAGTTAAACTAACACGTTGACTTTGCCACTGGCATTGATCACCGAAATAACTCGGTGGACAAAGACATTGTTGACTACGATTTGGGCCCCATCGTACACGAATACCTCGATGACAGAACCAGTGCTCAGTAAGGTCAAGAGTCCTCTCGAGAGGTTCATGTTGATCGTCGTATGACACGATAGAAATATGCGGATTCGTTGAGATCGAAGGAAGATATCCGAATCGAGTTGGATTTAAGAACGGCCCAGATCTATGCTGGTCGTATTCTCCATAAAACGCGCATTTCTTCGTATTGTTCTTATTCGATGAGATGACTTGATGAATTTGGGTGCTCATATTGGGCTGTCGCAGACAAATTTCGTTATGAACAGAAGTTGATGAAGTTCGACGATGACACAAAATGTCGGTTGTTATGCAATTTGTCTTGTTCCACGACATAAAACCATTCAAATCTTTAGTATTATTTTCAAAAAAAACTCTTCGACCACTTAATGAGTTCGGACACGGATCGAAATACTCCTCATAGAGATATTCAATTGGCAAACATTGCCATTCTTTTGTGTTGAAAATGTCTCGACACTCATGTTCCTTCGATGTACATCGACTGTACGAGCAGCCAAGTTCATCAATACCGTTTGGACAATCCCAAATTTTGTTACAACGTGCATAGACATTATTGCATGGCCACCATTCACAATGGGACTCATCACTTTCTTCTCGGTCAACGAGTACGTCATCATACAAATTATCACATAGATAGGCGTACGGACTTTTCTTGATAAATGTCAATCCAGTAAATAATTGCTCGTCTTCATTTTCGGGACATTCTATCCATCGATTGCCAAGCGCTACTGGTGATAAACATATTGTTGAGTTTGCATGACAGACAAAGCGATGAGTATCATTGAGATCGCATGCAGAAAAGTTTTCGTCCTCACCGAAATAACAATCAAGAAAACCATCTGCAACTCGATGAATTGAAATGCATTTCGACGATTGCACGCAGTGAAAGAGTGACGCAGTCGCACACGACTGATTCGTCCCGAGTGTAGTACAGCGACGGCTGAGTTCAACGAAGATCGGAAACATTTTATTGAAATCAGAGATCAATACCTGCTCGAGAAGTTTTTCAATGCGACAGCAGACGATATTGTGATCGAGTCGAAGTTGAATAGTACAAGAGAGCAAAGCTGGACATTGTTCAGTTTTGAAACAGATCAGATCCGGAGCGATATTCTTCTGAAATTCGATCACTGATCGGTTGGTGAAGTAAATAAATTGAAAAAATCCAAAGAAGATCGGCAGTCGAGGCATAGCTATCCATTCGGTGAAACAATGGGTAGATAACGGTTCACATGTGCCTTCGAAAATGAGTTCAGAATCAAGTATATCGATGAATAAATGATCGAAACCTAAATAACAAAACTCGTTCATGTACTGAGCAATTTCGAATAGACTTATTGCCTTCATTAGTCAAAGCTCTTACTACTCAACCGCTATCTCTCTATTTTATAAATACTTTACCAAAACTACGATTGGCATGCAGTGAACAAAAGAATGCTTGTCGACAGTGACTGTCGGTGATATAATCGAAAGATTTCAGAAGAATTCGATGCTTTTCTTCGTCACGTCGATTTGCACAAAAGCGTCGTGGTGCTGGTAGAATATTGCGCAAGTGATATTCTCCGTCACCACATGGAAACGTACGAACATACCGACCAGTACGTTCCTCACATTGAAAAGTTGGAATGTTGATACAGTCAAAATTATACGACTGACCAAATATTCCATGAAATTCCTGCTCATCACTTGCATCAAGACAATCGACACTGTACTGACTATCGCGCAAAAATTCCAATGGAATGCATTGACCACCATAATGACATCGATATTCATCTTCAGCACATTGTGTTGTCTCTAAAAGCTCACATCCATGTTCGTCTTCGCCGTCGGGGCAATCAAATTTCTGATCGCAGATTTCACGCCAGTCGAGACACAGTGGCCATGGGTCGCGATTGCAATTCAGCAATAATGGATAACAAGTACCGGTAGTGATATTGTTCAGACGAAGCGAACGATGTTCAAAGCTCGATTGGACGATGCGGCTGAATGAGACTGAAGTGACATCATCAAATTGATACTGGCACAATGGACCGAACCAAGGTGACGAGCAATTATAGAAAACTCCATCGATCTTGCCACGATCTCTTTCATAACGTTGAGCTACATCAATCGGTGCAAACCAACTGAGTAATTGTTCACCAGTGATACCTTGCCGATGAAGTTCAGTGAAGCTGATTCTTTTTGCCACATGTTCATTCAGTAATGACGGCCATTTATCATCGTCAAGATCAGGTCGTCTGCAATAGGGAATCAAATGAGAATTGCGAATATATCGTTCCCAATTGTCTTTCGAATCATCGATGAGATGAGCGTACAGGCAATCGAACCATGTTATATGTTTGTGTTCATCTTGATCCGATTGATACATCGGAAAACGACTGTCGATCACGAAACAAGTAGCTAACATAAGAAACAGTCGTAAAATCTTCATTATGTGTTGCTAACGAATGAGTAACGATAAGTTTTTACTTTTATCTGTCTCTCTCGTCAAAGAATATCAGCATTTGCCATTTATTGAATACAGGAAAGCATAAGTATGTTTTTCCATTCCTGTAAGATTAATAAACGTCGCATTTTTCCTTAGCAAACATTGATAAATACATTGAAATCTGTGAATGCATGACTTTTTTTTATCATTCTCATAAAATATACTGTTGTCATCTGGATAGAAAAGACTTTGCTCCAATTTTAATGTTAAAGACAATATTTCCCATGCTTTTTCTCTGTTTGATCCGACTTCTGTTGCAGTCAGAGAAATCAGAGTTCTAGGCGACGAATAATTCTATGAAGAGAGAGAATCTATGTGCAGTACACATGCGTAGCATATTCATCATCAAACCAACTCATTATTATTATTTAAGCCCAAAGGCAAACAGACTTATGTTCATCAGCACACGCATGGATGTGTGCATAGTCACTCTCTTCATTACTCTTGTGGACATACTAATGAAATTCTAAATGTTGTATATGTCACCAAACAAGTCTTGTTCAAAAGTAATTAATAATTATCTAATATCTGGCGAATATGTATACCATATGAGCTAAAGGAAATCAATGGAACTTTAAATACTATAACTTTTCGCATTGTGTACAACACAATACGATTTCTCCATCCGTCTCTATTGATTACTGTCGTTGTATATTTGGCACAAACAATAAAATTGTCATAGTCTGGGTCTAACCAGTCAGCTAGTCTCTTAAACTGGAAATTTTTATTCAAATATTTGCTGTTAATTTTCAATTGTACAAGTAATTTATGAATTCAAAAGAAAGTCGTAATTTTTTTGCCCGACTATTATGCATTAGCAATGCTAAAGATGAATTCATCGAATATACCTGATATAGAGTTAAAATCAGCTGTGCATTAGATTTCTTGATTATAATTTATCGGTGGTCGCTCACTTCGGCATATGACAGTTCGTCCCTTACTATTCGTCCGAAATTTTTCGTCCTAAATACTTTTTGTCCTGTTCCATTTTGTCCTTGTAGAATTCGTCCTAAAAAAAGTTTGTCCTATTACATTTGGTCATGTTACTATATGTCCCAATTTTTTTGTCCTTTTACATCTCGTCCAAATTTACTATTTTCTCACATATTTTATCGTGTAATTTTTTGAAGGTCAATTTTCATAGGAATTGAAAAAATATTATATGTGAATGAATGGCTATCGTTGTATTTAATGAATCATTGTGATTTTCAAAGACGAATAGAAAATAGATAAATGTCCTCTATCTATTCTATATATAAATCTATATTATTTCTTTGTTATTTGTTCATTTGTACAATTACGTATTACTGTTTGAAAAGAATTCAGGTTATAGTCAAATAATGAATCAAATTGAAGTGTTGACAAGTTCTCGAGGAAATCCGATGTTATGCTATTCAGGTTATTTATACACTCAGCATAGTATGACAGAGAAAAAACGTGTATTTCGTTGTGAAGATCGAAATTGTAGAAGTAAGAAAAAAATAGTTAAGTATAACGTCTGGATTACCTTTCATGTATTTTTATAGGTCGTTGTCATACGAATACTCTGATGGAAGTGTTTGTCAAAGAACCATCGGAGCATAGTCATGCACCTAATCCAGATCGTGTTCATGTTATTCGATTGAAACATGAAATTAAAGCCCGTGGTTCATCATCGGATGAAGCGATCAGCATTATATTATTTGATGCATTACGTAGTATTCCATTGAATGCAGTTCCTGGCTTACCAACGAACAATGCATTAATGCAAACAATTCGTCGTCATACATATAATTAAGATAAAAATAAACACTTAGCTTTTCGAACGAGATGTAGCAGGACGAAATGTAATAGGACAAGCGATAATTAGGACGAATTGTAAAGAGACAAAATGAAATCGGACAAAGATCATTTAGGACGAATTAAAAAAGGACGAATAGTAAGGGACAAAAAAAAAAGGACGAAATGTATGGTTACCAATTTATCCTATACAAACATGTTTTGATACAGTAAATGATGACATTGGACTTGATAAGACCCACACCCACACCCACACCCACACTCCCACACACACACACACACCCACACTCACACACCCACACCCACACCCACACCCACACCCCACACCCACACCCTCGCTTATTAAAATGTATATTCTCAAGCGAACAATGGTAAGTTTGTTCGTGAATCCATTTTATGATCACCGAGTCTATTTTTCAGAATTTTGAGCTGATTTTATTATGCTTATAGTTTCTAAAAATCCTACGATATGCTACCTTGTGCTTACAAGGGTTCATATTTTACACAAAAGTCAAGTGTATTGCTTGAAATTTACACAATAAAAATCAATAGGAATTTTCTATCGTGACTGTATGAGCATCTATGTAAAATGGTCAAGTGTCACATATGTCTATACTTAGTTGTAATTAACATAGAGAAATCCATTTTCAGCTGTTACATTAGTGCTTCAACCTAACTGCATTTGGTTTTCATTAAGTTGCTCTCAAGTTTTATTCGACAGTGTCTTCAAATGATAATTTAAGAGCAAGAGATATCCTTTTAAAGAATCAATAATTGATACTTCTAGTGATTTACATTTATTCCACGAATGAAGTGCAATATTCTTAGTTTTTATTCAGAGTAATTTTTTTATCTAGAGATAATTGTATATTTATCCTCGTTTTCATGCATCTATTTATTAATATGTCTGTTTATACTTGAGCGAACACTGGAACATTATTTTTCCTTCTCTGTTTTAACGTTCTGTTTTTCTTTTTCTGTATCTAAATTATCTAATTAGTTTATTCCAATGGGTCAATAATAGTCCTGGTCTTCAAACAAAAAAAACTAATTAATAAAGAGAACATCAAATCGATTCTTTTTAAATGCAGATGATTTAGTTGTAACATGTTACTCCTCTCTTGATCTACTACAATTCAGAACCTTTTTAAACTATAAACAAAAAGAAATAGTAACAAAAAAGTGATCCTCTGATTATTGATCAATTTAGACATTGAGAATGTTTTTTTCGATTAAATTATCATGTAGTTTACCAGTGCGTTGCATTTCTTCTTTCATATCTCTTTGAGTTAAATGAGCACGACTTCAAGTTTTTCAATGCATTTGGAAAAACATTGAGAATTAGATCTTATAATTAAATTTTATGTTGTCGAGTAATATCTAACATATACTGAGACGTTATAGTCATAGATGATAGCATATTGCTGCAAAACGAAGAAATTAGTTTGATACTGTTTTGAATAAATTAGTGAACTATGTTTTAAGTCTATTTTAATCTATTTCTGTCTCTTGACAAGTAAGTTACATTGGCAATTGATAGAAATAAAAAACTATACGAGCAGCTATATACAGGATACATCGAATAAAACATGTATGAGATCTGCTGCACAAAGAGAATAAGTCAATGGATAAGTTGAATATTTAGAATGCTTACAATAGAGATGTTTGCATTGCTGGTAGTTAATAAGGTTAGATGTATTCTGGTCAAATTATAGCTCTCACCATTAAAGTAACCAATTAAAAAATTTGACAACTCTTCGAGTGACTGAACCGATATATTCGAATTTTAACATATTTAAGGTATACGTAATATAATCATAAATCAAAATTTTAGCAGAATTTTTTTCTTTTTTCGTCATAGTTGAACAGAGTTAATCTAGTTGCATAAAAAAGAATTCTCTTGTAGATTTTTTTAAAAAATTAAGAAAATCAGAATTTTGCGTCTATTTCGCCATATATATGAAAATAATGATATTTTGGAATTTTTCGTAAAATTTTCTTTTATGCAACTTGACGAACTCTGTCCAGCGAGGATAAAAAAGGAACAAAATTCTGCTACAATGTCGACGTATGAGTATGCTACATATTCTGTAAATATGTTAAAATACGAATATATCGATTCAGCCACTCCAAGAGTCGTCAATATTTTACATTTGTTAGTTTAGTGGTGATAGCTATGATTTGACCCGAATATGTCTAGCCTTATTAACTACTAACAGCATAAACATCTTCAGTAATAACCAAATTAATCATTTTAATGATTTACATGAAAGCCAGTTTTTGGCATTTTTTGTAACTGTTTAACATCGTTAGAATTATTTCAATATTAAGGCATTTTAGTGCCATGGTGCTAAATTTTTATCTCTCTTTGGGGAATTGAGCTGCATGCTTTTTTGTTTTTACCCCCAACACACGTGTAGAATATCGAGAAGTACATTCAGTAAGAATATCTGGATTAATCACTTTTCATTTCTGAAGAAAAATGGATCAATAACTATTGTTGTCACTGCTTTGTTTAGCTCACCTTTTCTAAAACTTGTTGGGTTTCGTAAAGGAAGACTTTTGTAACAATACTTGAAGAATGCTATGAATGAGAAGAAATTTCAAACGGTTGTAATAATATTTCTATAAAATTTTTGAATACTACATTTTTTTCGTCAAGAAATGAAATATTATTTTAACTCTTGTATGATATTTTGATTGGCAAAGATTTGAATAAAGCAATTCACTGCAACGTTTTGATGAAGTTTTTTTAACTGTAAGATTATGGACTTCAGTATAAAAGATTGATACTAGTTCATCTTCACCACTCATACTATGTTAAGCTTGCCATATAATGGGTATTTGTACCGATCCATCATCATTGATATCTTGATTTCATGAACAAAATGTCACATCTGAAGATAAATTAATGATATAGATCATAATGGAGTATCATAGAAAAATTTATATCAATATTTGATAATTGTACAGAATTTTGAAGTATATCAGAATCTAGTAAACAAATAATTCACGCATTCTATTTTTTAGATTGATCAAGATTATTCTTCTTGTAATTTGTAACTGAAAAACCATATAGGCCAGTTGGTTGAACAGCAATAATAAATGAACTCAAGAGGAATGTATATTAATCATATTTACTACGCAATTGGAACAACAAAACTTACTGCTCAATGATAAGGTACATTTGTTTAGGAATACGTAATCAAGTATTGACACTAGTTAGTCATACTAAATTTTGATAGAAACAATTCATAAGTTTAATGAAATATTCTATTCTAACATACTCTTTTTGTAACATCAAAAGAATAGGTAAAGACTTCATATACTCTACTTCTTTATAATTAAAATGAAATAAATGTCGTTGACAATGTATATTCCGTCAGTGTTGAACTTCACGAAATAGATCTTCGCATTCCTAGAAAAGCTCAAGTCCTAACTGTTTGATATACTAATGCATTCTTATCAATATAGTCATTGAGGAAAACGAGAACGCATGTGTAAATTAATTTCATCATGTAAACATTTTGTTTGTTGAATAAAAACCATGTGGATCCTCAAATATACACCAATGACATTGTTTAAATAAAAAAGAGAAGAAGAAACGATATTATTTGATCTTTAAGTTCAAAATAATTGTAATATGACATATTCAATAAAATGGACATTTTGATTTCGTTTTTCTTTTCATCGAATGTTAGTTCATCAAAAACTTTGAGCAATCATACCTGTTCATATTGATGAAGTAATCAATTTAAAAGAAACCATTTTACTACTGAATTCTAATTTGGTTTTATTCTTTTCAATCTTTCTCTTTCATTGAGAAATATTTCTTTCTATTCACTATTTAAACTAAATTATCATATTAATAATTTTCATGATGATATATCTGTCATTTACTTTTTATTATAGAAATTTGTAAACGATTGATGATCGAAATAAATATTCTGATATTAAAAATTGAAGAAGATTCAAAGAATTGGTACATATTTCATATGATGCAACGACACCATGATCAAATGAAATGTCATTTGAAATCTCTATGATTTTTAACCATAGCATAAAATGAATAGTTACACATAGATATTTTCTCCTACCGTGTGATTTTCTTTTTGTTACCTGTTTTATTCGATTATAATGCTAGCTATAGTAGAAAGTGTTGATCTCTTTTGTTATTGAAAAAATTGTAATTTGGAAAAAAAAATAAAGCATCATTAAATCACTAACGACTTAGAAAAAAACCTGGTTGAATAAGTTATTTTGTCCGTTCTTGTACTTAACTCTTGAAAGAAACATTCAATCAAATTTATATAGCGTCTAATATATTATGCTCTATATACAGTTTTTTAAAAGGCACATCATGCGTATTTGTGAATTGATATCGATTTTTTTTTCTGAAAAATAAATGTAATCATGGTTATTTTTATCTTGTTTATTTTGTTAAAAATTTGTTAGTAGTTTTTTTAATGTGAGTTAACAAACAATGATCATCTGTAGGTTTTGTTAAATAAAATATGTTAATTTTATTGTTTGTTTTGTTATTTTGTTATTTTTAAACAGTATTCGTAGCCATTTGAAGCTTTGATCCATTTAACGTATTTTTAGTACCGTTAATACCAGTTAATGCATTCAAATTTATCTTTCCAATATCATTCGCTAATGAATCATTTTCACTTTGATTTCCATTTGTTGTTGCTAAATTTGTTTCATCTTCGCTATTGCCAAATATTTCTTTAAATAATTTATCAAAACGTGATATTAATGCTGATCCTAAACAAATATATTGCATAGAATTGTTCAATTCCACTCGTTTAACTGATATTGATGATGCATTCATTTCAATACCAAAATTAGTTGAACCAATAAGCCATTTATCATCTTCCCAATCAATATAAATGATTTCTTCTTCAACATGACCATGAGGCATGAAACGATATAAACTAAATTGAGAGTATTTCTCATTTGTTTCTTCCTCTAATGATGTTGTAAAAAGTTTTTTACTAAATTTTACGATACCCCAATCACCTGTATGATCTTTTATAATAAGTGCTTCTTCATTTTCAGGATTTAATGTTATTACAGATACATCATGTTTACCAGATACTTGATTAGGTAATGGTAATTGAGACCAATTAAGTGTGTGACATGATGCAAATATAACATTATTAAATGTTGCTGTAAATATATCAATATCATGAACAAAAGTATGACGAATATTAAGTAAGATTGGTTCATCTTGATGTAATGGCTGAATATTATGTACTGCTTGTTGAACTGAAACATTTTCAAGATTAAATAAAAATGTTGTACCTAATTGAGTTACATAATTTTGATCGAGTATTACTTCTTGGTATTCAGTTAAATCATATCGAACAATTATCGTATTTATATCAAGAGCTGGAATACCAACAACTAATCTATTGAAAGAAAAAGAAATGGATTTTTTTTTTGTTTTTAAATTTTGAGTGCTTAATTATATTATAAATTATTTTTTTAAAATGAATTAAATTATCTCATTGATATAGGAATACTATCAAGCAATAAGTGGTTACCTATCATTGATTGATTGCTAGTTAATCTACTATTCCTATACTTAATGTCTTAAGTTCTTTGTTATGACGCATCGATCAAGGTTTATATTATGTGTCGATGTCGTCAACAAGCAATTAGATTGATGATTCGAGACATAAAACTAAATGATGATTTGCTCACGGCTATTGCATTTAAAATATAACAGTTTTCAATGTATCATACCTTTTCACACTGGGTGCAATTTCTCGAAGAATAGAATTTTGTTCAACATTCTTATCGTATAAATAATAAAGTGCTTTTGGATCATCATCAACTGTTGAATTATTAGCTGATAAAATAGGTTGAGTAAATTGAACAAGAGGAAGAAGTTTTTCCGATGAAATATCATATTCCTCCAATGTACTAAAATAATTCATTGGCCAATATCCAGCTTTTTGTTGAATTTTAAGTGTAAGTTTTATTGAAAGATCATTAAAATCAGCATCAAAATGTGCTTCCATATGTCCTGATGAACCTCGAGCAAAAATTTCTTGATCAGATGAATTAAATTGTGCAAACACTTGTTCACGTAATGGTTCACCTAGTGAATGATCATGAAGTGGTACAACTGTAGTAATTTTATTATCAATCTCTTTTTTTGCAGCACCCATTGTTGAAACATTATGTTCAATTAATTGTACATATATTGAATATCGTTGACATTCAAGTAGAAAATTAAAATCAGTAACATATTGATAAAGACCTTTTGATGGTTTTCCTCGATACATACAACCATTTTTTGGTAAACGATCACCATATAATTCAAACCATTTATGACGTGTTTCATGATCGGATGTTGATAATTTTGAATTTGGTGAACGATCTGTTGTTGTATCATCATGATGAAGAACATGTTGAAGATTTTCAATCATATCACGACGATAAATTTCAGGAAATAATTGATGTGTATGCCAAATAATATCAATATCATACATTGGTACGACAAATAATTGTGGATTCAAACGTTTTAAAAATATAAATTTTTTATAACGATTTATAGCTTCATCAAGAAAGTCAGAATCTTTAAAATGACCAAGTGAAACATTATAATAAAAATCTGCTTGTCTTTCAACAGCTTGAGTCAAGGGATATTTTATTTTACTTGAATATGGTGGAATAACCTGAATATTTGTTGTATAATCTAAATGATAAGGCATTGTACGATTATATTTTTTTGTCCATAATTGTTCACTAAGTTTAACTAATGGTGGTGAACGTGCACGTACATGATGTGGTAAAATACGTCCAAATAAACGTTCACAATCACTTGCATATGCTATTGGTGCTAACATATGTGTATGCCAAACAAAAAGCACATCAAGTGGTGGAACAATATCTAAATCAACGTTTTCAGCTATAAATGGAAGCCAAAATGTTTCATAACGATATACAGCATATTCGCGTGATTGTTTTTGAAGATATTCCGGATGATCATAATATTCTTTTAAATAAGCCAGATGATCAATAACAGCCTCTTTGAGATTTTCACTAACTACTATTTGAGATGGATAAGTTATAGAAGAACTATTAGAAGATTGTGTTGTTATGGATGATATTGAAGTCATGGTTAGTCGGTGAATGAAAAATAAGTAAAAAGAAAAGATATGTGCTTATACACGACTATTCAAGGAAGAGTAGCGAATGAAAAACGTCAGATAGTTACGCCTCACTAAACATAGTCAACGACCATCATTCAATAGATGAGCGAGATATGACATAATTTTTTTTTACAGGTATTGTCAGGCTTTTTCTTCGACGGAGGCACGACTAACAACTTAAAGTCCATGACCTTGTTCATGACTTATTATCTCAAAAAAAAAAGACCCTATTCTTCAAATCAGTAGTACTAGTTTATCGCCAAAAGATTTCCAGTACTTGTACAATCGACCAGTGACATCTACTTTGATTTTGTATAATTTACCAATAATAATCATTTCTTTTTTATATTCAATGCAACCTGATTAGTTCGAAATATACCTTCTATTTTAACTACTTCGTTGTCCATTGTATTGTTCCAATGTTTTCATTTTTCGGAAAGTTCATTGAGTGTAGTTTCTCAAGTTTGCACTTTACTGTTAGAACAAACGTTCAATTATTTATATCATTCCAATTGTATTTTAGGAAGAAAATTTTCTGTATATAATTCAATTCAAAAACGAATTCTTAATAGAAAAAATTTTGTTAATTTTTTTACAAAAACTAATTCTATCATGATGACAGAAAAAACTAAAAAATCTCATAAAGATTGGTGGCGTCATTCAGTTGTGTATCAAATCTATCCACGTTCATTTTTTGATTCTAATGGTGATGGTATTGGTGATATTCATGGTATAACAATGAAACTTGATTATATTAAAAAATTAGGTGTCGATATTGTTTGGTTAAGGTTAGGATAAAAAGTCTTATTTAATAGATAAATAATAGTTTTTTTATCATTTTTCTAGTCCAGTTTATGATTCACCAAATTATGATAATGGTTATGATATACGTGATTATAGAAAAATTATGACGGAATTTGGTACAATGGATGATTTTGATGTTCTATTAAAAGAAATGAAAAAACGTGATTTAAAATTAGTTATGGATCTTGTCGTTAATCATACAAGTGATGAACATCCATGGTTTCTTGAATCAAAAAAAGGTAAAGATAATCCATATAGAAACTTTTATCATTGGCAACCTGGTAAACAAGGACAACCACCAAATAGATGGCGTGCTTGTTTTGGTGGTTCATGTTGGGTAAAAAAACGTTTTTCTAAATCAATCTAACTGATTCTTAGGAAACAATTCTCTTCTGTTTTCTTTTATAGACATATGATATTATCACCAGTGAATATTATTTACATACATTTACAGAAAAACAACCAGATCTCAATTGGACTAATCCTTTAGTACGTGAAGAAATTTTTAAAATAATGCGTTGGTGGCTTGATAAAGGTGTTGATGGATTTCGTATGGATGTTATTAATTTTATTTCTAAAGCCGATGGTTATCCCGAAGGTAAACCTATTGATGATGATCATCATCAAACAGATGGTTCACCGTATTTTATAAATGGACCACATGTACATGATTATATTCAAGAAATGAATGAAAAAGTTTTAAGACATTATAATATAGTTACTGTTGGTGAATGTCCAGGTAAAACTAATTTAAACAAAAAGTATTTTTAAAGATTTTCTTTTTTTTATTCAATACAATCTTTTCAAAGGTGGTCATTTAGAAGATGCAGAATTATTTAGTTCACCAGAACGAAATGAATTAAATATGATATTTACATTTGAACATATGGATTTAGATGGTGGTAAATGGACACCAAAATTACTTGATTTAAGACTTTTAAAAGATAATTTTACAGAATGGCAAAAACATTTATATAGAAGAGGATGGAATAGTTTATATTGGAATAATCATGATCAACCAAGAATTGTTTCACGATGGGGAAATGATTCACCACAATATCGAGTATTGTCAGCAAAAATGCTTGGTACATGTTTACATTTTCTTTGTGGAACACCGTATGTTTATCAAGGAGAAGAAATCGGTAAATAAATTTAAATAGTGTTTTTTTTTGTGTAGTTTTATAAGGAACAAGAGAATTCGATTGAATGAAATAAGAATATATATTGTAATTTTTGTATGACATATTCTGTTATGCCGTATTACCATTATTTGAAGAACCGAAAATCTTCAAATAATCAAAATCTATAAATACTACTTCAAGATTTCCTATTGATTAAATTATTCTTAAATATTGAATATTANACAACCACATCGACCATCAACACATACTTGTCCAGGTCCACAAATTACTGGACAATAAGGTGTTAAAGATGATTCACATCGTCGATTAATGCATTGTGTTCCAAATGGACATCGTGCATTACATTGATAATCATTTTTTTCTTCATCTATATTAGACCAACTACATTGTCCATCAATACATATTTCATCATCATCACATGGAGGATCACAAATAAGTGGATTTAATTTAGCTTGTTGTCGTAAACAGACACCTGTTTTTTTCTCACATAATTCACATTCAGATGAACATGGATTATCTATTATTATAAGCTATATGTTTATGAATTACAATCAATAATATTATTTCTTACATTTACAAATCGGCGGTAATGGATACCATTCTGATGGTACCATACAAAATGCTCGACTAGCACCAATCATTTCATAACCATATTTACATTCATATTCAACTGATGAACCAACTTCATAATCAGATACACGATAAAGTCCACCTTGAATGGATGCTGGTTCCGAACATCCTAATTCATAATCATTTATTTATTCATAATGCATCAATAGAAAATGAAAACATTTATTTTACCTGAACAAAAAGATGAACTTTTGAATTTATTTGTATCAATTAATATTTCATTAGATACTTGTGACCAAGAAAAAATATCTCCATTCTGTTTTCGACAATCACGATAACTAACAAGTAATTGTTGTTCAGATATAATTTGTTTCCAAATTTCAACACGTGTTATACGACCAATAAATAATCGATCAAATAGAATTAATCCTGTAACATCTAATTCAATAAATAAAAGTCGAAATGATCATTTATACATGCCTTTCCATTAGGCTTACTTGCTTTCGAAATCGAGGCTCATTACTCCGAAATCGATCGATTGTTGTCGTGCACCATTAATGTATAAATTTGATTGTTGATTTTTATTTGAATAAGTCCAAGTGAAATGTATCCATTTTTCAATTGGAATATTTACATATGTTGTTGTTGTAGATTTAGTTTGGTTTTGTCGTAAATGACAAATAACTAGTCTATTTATTAAGAAAAAGAAAAAAAAAAGCAACGACATAATAAAAATGCCTTTAAGTTTGGAAAAAAAACATATTTTACCTGCCTTGAAGAATAATCAATTCAAATAGAACATTATTTTTATTTTGTTTTAATGAAATTATATTAGCATTTGTATTATTTTCCAAATAGAACCAAAAGATAATAGTAAATTCAGATGAATTAAACGGTGTTAAAATAATCCCTGTATCGTTATTGTTAATATGCAAAGCATAATTTGAATAATCTATCGTAAATCAAAACAAAACAAAAAAAGATATAATTAAAAACTTTAAAACTAAATTATACCTAAATATTTTGAAGTTGTTATTAAACTATGAGTTGATGTTGAACTTGTAATTACAAAAGGTGTTGTTTCAATACCGACTTAAAATAAAACATCGATATTTTTTTCTATGTATGTCAATATTACTCACTGATACAAAATTGTTCATAACCTGTCCATCTACCCATTATTAAACATTCACGAATACGTGGACCAATCAATCGATAACCTGTTTCATTACATTTTGCTTGACATTTACTACCAAATTGAAGTTTAGTATTGTTCTGTTGAGGTAAACATTCTTGTATTACTCGAGGATGAACTTTCAATGGCGGACAGCGAATTGCTAAAAAGAAATTAAAAACGAAAGTATTTTATCTTGAATGTTGACTATTTATCTTACGTTCACATTGTGGTTCACGTCCACTCCATGTTCCATCTTGATGACATTCACGAAAACTATCTCCATTTACAAGACGATAACCAGTTAAACATCCAAGACCACATAGTGAGCCTGATGTTCGTTTACAATATCCCGAAAAGAAAAATCCATGCGTTGGTAATTCCAAAACAGGACATTGTTTTGTCTAAAAGACATGAAAAAGAAATAGAAAAGAAAAGAAAATAGTACGAATTCAAAACATACTCGTGCACCATCAATACTGGCGATTTTAAGTATAAAAAATATAAAAGAAAATATTATCATATATCGACTTCGATACTTTGATTTTGACCACCACAGAATAGAAAAATGCTTCTGAACGAAGAACATTAATTTATGGTAACAAGAAACAAGAAAAGAACAGCATTGTATATAAGATATTTATTATGCTGAATGATGGAGATGCCTGTTTATTATCTCTCATTGAACATCTGGTATTGAGCGAATATGGATATGAGAAATTACGTGATTGACATCATAAGGAAAAGAAAAAGAACATGCTTAATTAATGGTTGCTTATAATGTAGAAAAGATTATTTGTTCATATATACAAATCGTTGGCCTGGATATATGGAATATGATGCAGAAATTATTAGATTAGACAGGCGATAGTATCTTGCGGCCAATGTCATTTTATCTAAATTAACTATAAGAATTTTCATAGCTAGAATATTGAAAAATACACATTTTATTTTATTTGTTTCGAATGATTAATTCTTTGTTTTTCTGCTAAATAATTTACTTAATAAACTTTTTAGATTTATAAAAATGATCTTTAACAATAATTTTTTGTGTCGATGGAATTATTAAATTAACATATAAACTTATTTTTAAGGTAAGATACGATGGTAGAATTTTTATAGATGTAGTCAATCTTTTTTTTGATAATTGTTATTATGTACTTTATCTTCATTGTTCAGAAGTGTTAAACGTAGATGAATCTACTACTTTATGGATAAAATTTATAAACTAGTGAATGATTTTTACCTTTATTTTTCAAGTCATTTGATACTTTCGTTAAGCAATTCTATCGTATGAAGCAAGTTCTTTGAAACCTAATATTATTATCTGTTCATAATATACGATATTCGATAATTTCAGTTTTTCAATATATACGTAGTTGGAAAATTTATTAAAGTTCTGCCCATGTATAAAACAATCTAATTACTAAAGCATTTATTTACTTCATCATTTCCTCTTATAAAGAATAATGTTACGTTGTCTAAATGAGTAAATCAGAAACCATTGAAATTCAATGTATGCGTTTTTGAAAATTCTTCAGATGTCTGTAAGTGAATTATCATTTTATTTTGATACAAATATGGTTCGCAAGAGACGATTAGAAAATGATTGTTTGTTTGTAGAATAATAACGAAGGATCGATTTTTATTTTAAGTCCTTGAAAAATTTCATCATGTTATGTAACACCATAATTAAGATTTTTTTGTTTAAGTTCATCTCGATGTTTGTAACAAAAGCAATGATGAAAATCTGAACATAATGTAATAGTTATTTTTCTTTCATTCGGCTCACATTTATAAGACATTTTAGCATCGAATGCTTTTGAAAAGGTAACCATTAAAAAAATTAATATGTATTCTGCCTTATTGAAAATGAAATAGTTATACACTTTTGTTGACACAATGTACACGATACATAAAACCGCTCGTCAATATAAAAAGACACATTTTCTCAATTTTATATGACTAGGACGATTCTACAGCTCATATTACGTATACTGTCTAGTTATTGCATATCTACATATAATGTGAAAAATCATTAACATGATATTGTTGTGTAATTATGAGTGATGTATCAAATGAATTTGATTTTGTCAATTTTTTTCATTTGTTCATGTTGTTTTTTTGAATGTCAATATTTGTCTAAACACCGAATTTTATTTCCTTGCAAATCTTTCCTCAGTAATACAGTCATCTATATTATATTTATGCGAATATTGAAAAAAAGTCACACTATTTCGTTTTTTCGTAAATGTATTTGAAAATGAATTCGAAATAGAAGATAAAAGAAAATCAATCATGAAATCCACATTAGAACTGAATCGAATAATAATTTTAATGTTAAAAAAAGATAGCTTACAAACGATCAATTATAATAAAAGAGCAGAAAAGCAGCTTCGTTCTTAAATACCATTAGTCCTTCGTTTCAAATGTTGATTGATACTATCCAACGAAGAAAATATTTTTCCGTTGATTAGCAATGGTTCTTCAAAGCTATGTTTTTCCTTTTCAATATAATTCTTCATTTCAATTTCTACGTTGAACTGTTTTCCACTTGTACAAATGAACAATATACAAACTAATAATAATTTACCAATTGACTATAATGTCTATAAAATTTATTTATGGATCATTTAAACTCAGGGTAACATTCAAAAGAATAATAAGCTCGAAATACAACAAAAGATGAAATAAGCTCTAAATCACTGTTATTTATACAGAAAGCTCATTGTTCACATTAAATTTCAATCGGTTTTGGATTTGGTTTTCGAATATGACGCATATTAGCACCGGGTTCACTAAAATAAAACAAACAAAAATGATACATTTCCTTTCAACATAAACAAAATAATCTATCATACCTTGGTTTAAATGGTGCATGTGAACCATACGGTCTAGCTACTTGAATATCTGCATCATCGTTTGGAGCATAAGCTTGTGGACGTGGTTCAGCTTGTGTAATTACGCCGCCCGGTAATAAGAAGTGTTCAGTTTCACGTTCTTTCTGTAAGAAAAATTGATGAATAAAAAAAAAGAAAAACAGAATTGTTATAAATAATAACGAACTTCTTCTCGAACTCTTCGTTCAGTTTTACGTTTTTGTTCAAGTTCATTTGTACGTTGCCATTCACGTTCAAGTTCATCATTTGGAGGTTCTCCCTAATAATAAAAACCACTAAATTTAATAAGAAACGAAAAATCCTAACAAACTTGTTCCATTCGTGCATAAGATTGTTGTAATTCAACATCTTTCATATTTTTTTCTTGTTGAAGTTTTAATGCATCTGATTGATAAATTGTTAATTCTGATAGTGTAGCCATCATTTTACATGTTATATCTTTAATTTTATTTTGTAAATCATTAACTTTTTTTGCTAACGCTAATGTATCATCTTTTCCGGCATCAACTTTTGTTGATAAACGCTCAATTAAACGATTAACTTGTTCAATAATAAGATCTTTTTCAAGTGATTGTTCTTCTTTTGTTGATAAACGTTGTTCAAGCTAAAACAATTTTATTTTATTTTTTATTAAATATTTCAAATGAGATTATTTTAGAATGAATTAATTACTTGTTCAAGTTTTTTCATTATTACTTCAGGTGAATCATCAATACCATCAAGAAAACGTACTCGTGCTGGATCATTTGGATTTTCAAGAATTTTTTCAAGTTCAAGTAAATTATCTTGACATGATTCAAGCTAGAAAACATATACATAAATATGCAAAAAAGATAATATTTTTACCAATAAATAGACAATTTTAATTCTAGAGCATCATTATCAAATTAAAATCTTTCATAGTTAGTACTTATAAAACTTATATAAGCACGAGAATAACCATAAAAGTTAAGCTCTCGAAGTTAGTTGTATTGTTTTTACTATTCACTTATTCTAGTTAGATCTATTTGATTTGAAAGTTCTAGTGATTATTTATTCAGAAGAAAAAAATTCATAATGAAATTTGGAAAGGTTTTTTTTTCTCATTAGGGAAGTTTCTCAACTGATACATATCTTTTAATTTGGGGCTATGTGCATCATGTAGATGCTAACGCATTATGAATAATACGGAAAGAGTTCGGCCATATAGCTTATTGCTACCGACCTATTTGCATTTTTACGGCATAGAAATAAGTCTTGACGAAAATAGTTTATTGTGAAAGTGTCATATATTTTCGTTGTTCATATTCCAGGATACATCCATAGTAAAAGAGCGTCTTTTTTTTTAATTACTCATGAATATTTGCAGATTCAACATTGTTATTTCAGGACAGGAACATATCAAAATGTCACATACTTTCAAGATTAACTATTCTTGCTAAGACTTGTTTCTATGCAATGTTTACAGTCAAAAATTCGAAAATAAATTTTCTTGGTGTTCCTGACGGGGAACCATGGCATTTTATTGCAAAATATGATAAAAATGCAATACGTCGACAACAATAAGTTATGAATACGAATAATTTTCATAGTATTCAGAATCTATTAGGGTTTACATGATACACATGCTTCGAATTCAAAAGCGATTAATCATTTGGGGAACTTTTCGCATTAAATTTTAATTTTAATCAATCTATCAATCAATGGATAAATTCATAATTACTGATATCTTTCAAAATTGTGTTTTCATTTGTTTGAAAAATATAAAAATCGATCAGATCATTAATTAACTTACACATATTCTATATAATTCAAGTTCTTGATCTAATGCTCGTTTAACAGGTAGTTTCTTTTTAAATAAAGCAATTTCTCGTTTTTCTTCTTGAATTTGTAATTCTAATAATCGAATTTCATCATCTCGACTTCGCAATTCAATATAAGCATTTTTTAATTTGGCATCTTGAACATTAACTTTTTCCTAAATAAAATATTTCAATAACAAAAAGAAAAAGAAAATAATCAAAAATAAAACAAACTTGAAAAACAACTTCTTCATTATATCTTTCAACAAGTTGTACACTTCGTTCATTTCTATCCAAAACAGCTGTATCATAATCTTTTCGTAATCGTACTAATTCTTTTTCAGCAAATGCAATTAAATTATTATAATTTCGATTTTCTAATGTTTGTTGTTGATCTTGTATATTAAGTTCACGTAAATAAGCACGTTGTTTTTCAACTTTATGTTTTTCTCTATCACGTTCAACAACAGATGCTAATACAAGTAAATTTTTCTTTTGTAAATCTTTTTCTAATATACTTAATTTAGTACGTAAAATTTCAATTTCATTTTGAAGTAATTTTATTTTTTCTTTCATTTCATTTGATTTTTGACTATTTATTTGTATTGAATTAACACATTTATTACGTTCATTTTTAATAATATCATACATTGATGCAAATTCTTTTAATCTAACTTCTAAATCGACAATACGTTTTTCATGTTCATGAATTTCACCTGTTTTGCGTTGAAGATCTTCTTGTACAGCTTGTAAACGATTTTTAGCTTTCATTTTTTCTCGACATTTTTGTTCTCGTTCATTTGATACAACAGATGCAAAATGTGCCATTGATACAGCATCAC